CAAGAGGGTGATACATTTAAAGAAAAACAGCGGAAAACATATTTCTCTGTGGAAGTGAAGAGTATCACCTGCTTCATGGGGTGGGCCTCTGTATCGAAAGCAGCTATGTAAGATACTTGGACCACCTGGCTCATTTGTGCTCCTCCTAGTCCCTGTAGGCATTTTGTTTTGATCCCAAATCAGAGTCACCTCTCTGGCCTCATAGCCTAGAGATGTGCTGGACTTACCCATCTAAAAAAATCAATAGATTGTTGCCAAAGGATTGCTGTTCTTTTTGAGAGCTCATGCAAGACAGGGGCAGTCTAAAAGAAGTGGGAGCTCTGTCTTGGGTAGTGTGAGGGTTTTTATAAGAACAAGTAAGCAACCAAAATTTAAAAAGAAAAAAATCAAGAACATCAGTTTGTTTATAGGCACCTGGAAGGCCACAAAGGTCCAACCAACCTCTATAGCTCTGTGAAAACAGAAAGGGCCAAGCCAATTTATTATTACTTTTGCACCAACCTAATGCCTTCCTCCTCTGATCAAAACTAGGAAGATAGGGCTGGGTATGGTGGCCCACACCTGTAATCCCAGCACTTTGGGAGGCCGAGGCATGTGGGTCACTGGAGGTTAGGAGTTTGAGAACAGCCTGGCCAACATGGCAAAACCCTGTCTTAAAGTACAAAAAAAAAAAAAAAAAAAAAAAAAAAAAAAAAAAAAAATTAGACGGACATGGTGACCCATGGCTGTAATCTCAGCTACTTGAGAGGCTGAGGCAAGAGAATCACTTGAACTCAGGAGGCGGAGGTTGCAATGAGCTGAGATTTCGCCACTACATTCCAGCCTGGGTAACAGAGCAAGACCCTGTCTCAAAAACAAAACAAAACAAAAAGTAGGAAGATAGCAGATAAGGAAGGAAGCCATGGAGATAATTTGTGTGAGTATAGCTTTCGAGTATTTGCGTATGAAGCTGTTTCTTATGATTGTAGGAATAAGAGGTCAGAAGAATGGCATATTACCACAAATGGAGCAGTGATGGGGTGGGATGGGGGGCTGTGTTGACCTTGAGGTGGCATTTGATGACGGGGCTGGGATTCTAGGAATGAGGAAACCCAAGAAATGGACTGTGTCTCTTAACTCTGTGAACTCTGTTTCTTCATCCACTTTCCTTGCTTATCTCATGAGATAGTTACGATGATCAGAAGACAATGCATGTTGCAGAATTTTAAAACCATGAAAGAGGCTACAGAATATCGATACTGTTCCAGAGGAACTTGAGAATCAATCCTCATAGCCAGCCTGTTAGCTGGTTCTTTCGATTCCATCACCGAATCTATCTGGCACACGTGTCTTCCCCCATTGCTCCGCCTGGGATTCCCATGGGCGCCTCCTGACTGCTCTCCTGGCTTCCAGCCTTGCCACTGTAAACCATTCTCCCTGTGGCCGGAAGAGAGGTCTCTATGAACATGTGACTCGAATCCTCCAGTAGCTTTCATTCCTTTAGGGTACAATCCACATGTCTTGCCCTGACCTTTGAGGGGTCCTTCCTGATCTCCCACCTCTGCAGTTCCCCAGCCTTCTGCTCCACACCCCCAGCCTTCATTCCACTTCAGAGCATTGACACACCTGGCTACAAGGTTTTTTGTTGTTGTTTTTTAAATTGTAAAATAACATAAAACGTATCGTCTTAACCATTTTTAAGTGTACGATTCAATAGTGTTAAGTACATTCACGTTGTTGTACAACCAATCTTCAGAACTCTTCATCTTGCAAAGCAAACTCTGTACCCATTAAATAACCTTCCCATTCCTCTCACTCCCAGCTGTTGGTAACCACCATTCTACTTTCTGTCTCTGAATTTGGCTAGTCTAGGTAACTCCTATGTAAGTCAGATCATACAGCATTTGTTCTTTTGTGACTGACTTGCTTAACTTAAGTCTCTGTCTTTGAGGTCCATCTATGTTGTCATGTGTCACAATTTCCTGTTTTCAAAGGCTGAATCGTCTTCTTCTGTGTGTGTACAGCACATGTTGTTTATTCATTCATCAATCCGTGGACACCTGCATTGCTTCCACCCTTTTGGCTATTGTACTTAATGCTGCTATGGACGTGGATGTACAAATGTTTTATTGAAATCCGGCCTTCAGTTACCCCAACACCCAGAAGTGGAATTTTTGAATTATGTGGTAATTCTATTTGTAACGTTCTGAAGAATCACTATACTGTTTTCTGTAGTGGCTGTACCATTTTACATTCCCACCAACGATGTACGAGGTTTCCAATTTCTGCACGTCCTCACCAACACTTGGTGTTTTCTGTTTTCTCCCTGCTATTTTTGTAGCCAAACTAATGGGCGTGAGGAGATAACCTTGTGGTTTTGATTTGCATTTCTCTAATGATGAGTGGTGTTGAGTATCTTTTATGTCCTTATTGGCCATTTGTATTTCTTCTTTGGAGAAATGTCTCTTCAAGAACTTTGCCCATTTTTTAATTTGTTTGTTTTTTGTGGTTGAGTTACAGTTCTTTGGCTGCTGGTGTTTAAGTGTATGAGGATTTGGTGTGTCCCCACTAAGCTCCAGGAGGGCAGTGGCTGTGCCCATGTGGCTCACTGCCATCTCCCAGTGCCCAGCATGGAGCCCTGTGCGGGGTTTGTCAGCCAACGAAGATGCATGTCTGCAGCTCTCAATGGCAGGCGAACGCGAGTCTGTGTTTATTTCTACATTCATTCTAGTTTCAAGAAGGATTTTGGACTTCGGTCACATCTCTTTGGGACCCTAGTATTTGGGATCAAGAATGGCAGGTGACCCTCGTGAAGGGCTTTAAAATGGATAATCTGAGGTCTTGTCAGGCACTGTTTCACTGATTTTTGGACTGTGCTTGTTCAGTTGAGTTTAAATCCCATTTTGCCCAGTCAGGAGGATCTTGATGAAACTGTGTTTAGTTATTTTATAATTTCAAAATATGCGGCCACCTAATTGGTCTCTTTACGAAGAAGGCAAGGAAAATGTAATCCTGGCTTCATACGTGGTAGAGCGGAGAGGCTGGGCCGTGAGTCTCCTCTCCCTCATCTTCGTGTCTTCTCCTCGGTTCTTCAGTGCCTGACACCCCGTCCTGGATCCCAGCCCTTCGGTCCTCAGTTGCCAGGCCTCCTCAGTTCTCTCTCCCTGACAGCCCTCCTTCTTTCTTCCTCTCTCTTCTCCTGCCTTGATTCAGGACCTGTGGTTTCTTACCTGGATCACAGGAACAACTTTCTAACTGGTGTTCTTACCTCCAGGCTTGTTCACTGCTGCCAGAGTAAATGTTCCAAAATGCAAATGTCATCATTTTCCTGTTTAATTTGAATTCTTCGATGTTTCCACGTTGGCTTCAGGATAAAGTCCACACCCTTTCACATGGCACACAGGCCATGCACAGCAGCCGGTCACTTGCCATGGTGACCTCCCCTCTGCCCCCAGCACTTCAGCTGCAGTCCCTGCATTCTTTGGCTTTCTCTGGCTACGATGCCCCCCACCAGCCTCCCCTGCCTGTTCCCGAGTTCCTGTGCTGTTCTGTTCACTCTGACCAGTGAACAGTTACCCTCCTCCTCCATCCTAGCCAGAGTGGGACCCTTGCCTACTGTGGCTCACTGTGTCTGCCTCTTGGGAGTGCTGCCTGTCTGTAGGGTACATCTGTCTCTTAGTCTCCCTGCTGCACTGTATGTTTTGCAACCAGGGGTGGTGTCCTTTATCTCTATGTTTCAACAGTTAGCTCAGTGCCTCTCATAGAGTAGGTCTTTGTGGAAAGGAAGAGGGAGAGGAAAAAGGAAAGTTTGTCTGATTTGAAAGATCATGTTCTCTCTGTTCTTGCCACCTCCCTCACCCCCTCACCACTGTCCACTGTTGCATTCTGCCAGTCCAGGGTGGCTGAGGTTAGGGTGGACTCCCAGAGTGACCCAATCAGCTTGACTTTGTTCCCTGGCCACCCTGAAACAAACTGAGCCTGGCCTACCTTCTGGTAAATGCATCCCAGCAGTGAGATGACTCATGTGTGTGTGACTCAGAGCGAACGCAGCACAGCTGGAGAGCAGCCATTTGCCTGCGGGGGGTGGGGGTTGTAGAGAGCAGCCCAGACCCAGGCACATGGCCACCAGGCTCCCAGCCCTGTAGCCTGCTGCCCACTGACTGGAGCAAGGATGCAAGTTCTCCTCTGTCCACAGGCTGCAATAGCAGAGTTTCACTAGATTTCTATACCTGGGATGCTGTCTCATTTATTACTATTAAATCATATTTTAATAGGCCACCATTTATTGCAGACTTACGGTAAATTGTTGGCACTGTTGTCAGCAAATTATCTCATTTGATCCTTACAATAACCCAACAACAAAGATAATAGCAAGTGCATATATAGCACTTACTATGTGCCAGACACTGTTCTGAGCACTTCATATGTATTAATTCATTTAATTCTCACAATAACCCTGCTATGCAGGAAATGTTACGCTCACTTTTCAGATGAGAAAACTGAGGCACGGGAAGGTCACACATGGAGATACCCGTGGGTCACATAGGACAGAGCTTCGATACAAACTCAGGAGTCTAGCTTCTGAGTCCACATTTAGCCCTCATGCTGTGCTTTCTTGGAAAGCATTAACCATAGTCCCATTTTGGAGGGGAGGAAATTGAGGCTTAAAGAGGTGAGTCCTTTATCCACAGTCACACAGGGAGTGATAGAGGCAGTGATGGAGATTGGTGGTCTCCAAGCCTGGCTCCTAACCCCTGTGCTCCGATGCTCAGACTCAGGAGATACTATTACCACGATACAGCCATGCACTTGGTTCTCCTTAGCTGCCTCCATTGGTGCTTCCAAGGGCTAAGACCAGAGGGTGGGTAGGATTCTGGGGCAGAAACCTTCTTCCGAGTCTGGAGCTATAGCAAATGGGTAGCATTTGATGGCACATTTTGCTTCCCATCTCATTTCAATTTTGGGTCCTGGAGTATTTCCTTCCCTCAGGGATGCTGATGGGACTTTTATTACCTCCACAGACAGTGAGACCGTGCACTACCACTATGGCCCTAAGGACCTGGTCACAATCTTGTTCTACATCTTCATCACCATCATCTTGCACGCTGTGGTTCAGGAGTACATTTTAGATGTAAGTGACGTGTCTGGATTCTGAAATCAGAAGCTGGGGAGGTGCCTTGGGGTGGAGGACCTGGGCTTGGAGAAACTGCAGCTCTGCACCTGTTCATCCTCCAACTGGCTTGCTCTGGTTGGGCCTATTGCCTGGGCTTCCCTCACCACACTTTGGTTTCTGTTCCCTCTCATAGCCTCCTTTAATCAGCACATGAGACAGCGGTGTTTATTACACAGAGAGAAAGCTGTGTGGGGATGGTGTCCTTATGGGTCTGTTGCACATAGAGTAATCGGGGATGTTTTCTTTCCATGTAGCCTGGAGACACTCATCTTGCCACTTTCTAAAAACGCTTACCTTAGACCAGGCACTGTATGCACACAGTAGGCTTACACCAGATAACCTGGATTATGGCCAGCTGCAGACTTCTAACGATGTTCAACTCTTTTGTGGGAAGAAAACAGGAGTTTGAAACCCGCCCAATATGGATACATTTGTATGTTAATATGAGGGGTTTTCTTTATTCTTTAGAAAATCAGCAAACGGCTTCATCTCTCCAAGGTCAAACACAGCAAGTTCAATGAATCTGGACAGCTGGTCGTCTTTCATCTCACCTCAGTGATTTGGTGCTTCTACGTGGTGGTGACGGTGAGCCATTCTCAGGACTGCTGCAGGGGGAGAGCTCAGACCGAGGGGCGGTTCCAGCTCTGGGATTGCTCATCAAATCCCTGCAAAGGACCCCTTACTCCTTTTCTTTTTCTGTTAAGGGGAGCAAGTTTCTTAGAACCTTCTTTGCTTCTTAAAACTGAAACTGTGTTTGCATCCTCATGGTGTTGCAGAGAGAGACCAGATGGTACAGATGCCATTTTATAGCTGGAGAGAGTCATCTTGTTCAACAGTCACCACTTGTTATAATTATTATACAATATTACGGTAATGATACCATGGAACTATGTAACCCTGTATTGTTTTACAAGGCCCTTCTACAAACACTGTCCCATAAGATACATTTTATGTTCATTCTGATGCCCATGTTATATATTGAAGAGTTCCAAGCTCAAATTTTGCAGTATGCCTGTGGTTCTGTGATTTTGAAGCAGCAAGGATAGCTTGGAGTTGGAGGTAGAGTTCCAAGCCCAGCTTACCATTTGTGTTACTATGTTGGCCTTCTATAAATGAGGCCAGCCTCACCCTGTCAGCTCATCAAATGCTGTGAGAGTCAATGCCGTTGCAACAAATGCCTGTAGGACCAGACAATTTGTCTACCCCTCCTTTCTACGTAATAGGACTCTTATACAGCAAATTCCCTCATAGAAAGGAATGTGGATGGTCCTTTGGAGTTTGCTGTAACAAGACCCTGCCTGTCCTGCTAGGAAGTGTTGAGTTGGTACCCACCACCACCTGGAGCCCTACCTTCCTGTAACCTGGCCCCCTGAGAAATCCATGCCTGGGTCTTGGAAAATTCAGCAACTCTGTGACCTCTGTAAGATTTCCTTCCCGGCCTTCCCCAGATCTCTCGCCTTCTTCCTCTTCTTTCAGTGACAGTGATGGGCCCTGCCATCACGAGGAACTCTGTCCCCAGAGCTGAATGTCGAATTCCTATTCTCAAAGCTGGAGTCAACATGTTCTTTTGTACATTATTTTTATTCCTATTATCATTTCATCACAGAACAGCTTTCCTAAGCAGAACACTAGGAATTTTAAATGAGGGGCCCAAGACTTCTGTCCTCTCAGGCAAGGCTACTCCTTCACAATCCCTGCGGCAGATGGACACTGTCTGAATAGTGCATCCCTGCTGTTGTGCTGTGCATGTAAGTCCCTATACTTCTGGGTTTCAGATCACATCCAGTCCCTTGACGTTCAGTTCATGCCCACCCCTAGAGACGTAAGCTGCTTTGAAGGAGAGAAGCCTCAAAGTACCAACGATGTTTAACCGCTGGTCAGGGGAAGCATTGCCTCATCTCTGAATCACTTTTATCCTTTCAACTTCACCCCCAGACATTCCACCCTAGCTGTGACACGTGGCGACCAGATTTGGAGGCTGGAGCCAAGTTGCTTAACACTTCTTCCAGGGTGTGAAAGGCTCAACTGTTCTATCTTTGCTGTTCTTCAAGGACTTGAACATGATGCTAATTAGTTTGAGAGCACATAGGCTTTTCTTGGGAGGCACATGGCAGTCTTTTATTCTGGGGAGAGCCAGTTCCCCACTCAACATATTCAATAGGCATGGAGACCAGGGGACCATGGAAAGCTCCGGCGACCCCCAACTGGACTTTTCCTAACAACATTCAACTCCTTGCCCTCCTCCATCGGAACCCTGCTTCCTGGTAGGAACGTGATTGAAGAAGAAGAGAGGTAGTTCTGTAGAAGTCATAAAAACAGCTTGTTTTTTTAAATCATATTTTTCTGTTATGATGCAAATTTTTTCATGACTCTTCTTTCTGTCTCTCTCATTTCATTGGCACTTCCTGGCAGCTATGCCTCCCAAACACATTGAGACTGTCTGCTGCTTTCACCGCTACCTCTAGTCTAGTGACCCTTGACCAGGGAAGATTTGGGCCTGTAGGGGACATTTGGCAATCTGCTACTGGTATCTAGTGGGCAGAGGCCAGGATGCTGTGGTATAGCCTTTAATGGATGGGACAGCCTCCACAGCAAAGAATTATCTGGCCCCCAGTGTCCATAGTGCCAAGGTTGAGAAACCTTGATGTGTATAGTCCAAGCTACCGTCATCTGTTGCCTGGACACTGAATATCTTTTTTTCTAGAAGGAGACCCTTTCTACTCTTGTACCCTCCCACCCCAATCCATTTTTTGATCAGCCAGATGGATCTTTTTTTTTTTTGAGATGGAGTTTTGCTCTTTCACCTAGGCTGGAGTACAGTGGTATGATCTCGGCTCACTGTAACCTCTGCCTTCCAGTTTCAAGCAATTCTCCTGCCTCAGCCTTCCAAGTAGCTGGGATTACAGGTGCATACCAACACACCTGACTAATTCTATTTTTTTAGTAGAGATGGAGTTTCACCATGTTGGCCAGGCTGGTCTGGACCTCCTGACCTCGTGATCCACCTGCCTCGGCCTCCCAAAGTGTTGGGATTACAGATTACAGCCACTGCACCTAACCTGGATCTTTTTAAACAGGAATAAAACCATATATTCTTGTGCTTAAAAGCCCCCACCACACTTTCAGTGAAATCATTTTTTCCTCCCCACTCATGTGATCTGGGTTCTGTCAGCCCTGCTGGTCTCATCTCACTGTCCACAACCCCACTTTTGTCTCCTCTGCCCTAACACTCCTGGCTGTTCTGCCTCCTGGGTTTTGCACTGGTGGTTTCTGTGCTCAAGGGCTCCATCCCCTGCCATCCTATGGCCAATTCCTTCTTGCCATCCAAGTTTCTGCCTAAATACCATCTCCTTAGAGAACCCCCCATCAATTTGCATTTTCTGCACTGTGCTGGTGCTTTTCTTCTTTGTGTATTCTCTGTTTCTCCCACTGCATTCTGAGCTGCTTGCTAGCAGGCACCATGCTCACTACTGTATCCCTGGTACGGTGCCTACGACATACTAAATGCCCGCTAAATGTTGGCTGTGAGAATGAGTGAATTAACTGCAAATGGATCTTCTCTCTCCAGCCTTCAACATTTTTTAAGTAATGAATTAGTTGTTTTAATAAATACCATAAATAATCAAATTTTTTAAAAAGTGAACAATATAGAGAAGTTCACAAAAGCAAATTCTTCCCACCAGAAATAACAGTATTATTTTGGTGTTTGATTGAAACATTTCTCGCGCATATATAGAGGTAGAACAGTGGGAGTGTGGCTGGACCACCAATACTTTTAAGGGAATGTCAGCCTCCAACTTTTAATCTACCTTTGCTTGACTATTCATTGTTCAGGGAAAAAGAAGATAACATTTCACTGGAGAAAGCAGAATGGGTGGGTGTTGGGTGGGTGTTTGGTCTTCCCTGTCTGACTTCTTGCCATTTCTGACTTCATATTAGACCTAGTAGAGGGAACGTTCTTAACACTGCTGCTTGCACCAGGACTGATTTCTACTAACAGACTAGTTGCTTTAGAGCAGATTTTTAGTGCATGGTTGTTCGGATGGTCAAATAGGATAAGATATGTCTGAATCTGCATAGCACTTGCCTGTGCTGTGTCTGAATTCTGCTGTTTTTGTGGTTCTGTTTGTTCATCTCCTGAAAGGAAGGCTGCTGGGGAAACAGGAGGGATCGCTCCACCTTGTTGAGGCCTTGCTTAGCTCATGAGTGGACTTGTAGAATCAAAAGAGAACAAAGGATTTCAAAAGCCTCTCCAAACCATCCACTGAGACCTATCCATGGATGGGATTTGGGGTGGGTTTCAGGGGCTTGTTGGGTCACACTCAGCCCCCTGTGGACTCAGGTGCTTTGCGTGACTAAGCTCAGAGGGTACCCTAGTCTAGTCCTCCCTCAGACAGCTGCCTGGACAGAGGTCTGGAAAAGGCTGTTCTCAGAGCAGTGAGTCATTTTTCCTCTGGCTCCCCCTGCTCTCCTCCCTCCACCCCTTTCTTCCTCCAGTCCCAGTGGACTGGACATTCACCAGCAGGCAACCTTTTTCTGGGGAGTTTCTTTGCTTGTCGGCTTCAAAGTTCTGAGTGTTCCTGTTTAAAATCACGAGATTGTCTGGGCTTTACGTTGCTCTCAGTGCTGCTTTTCTTGGCGAGTGCTTTTTTTTTTTTTTTTTTTTGGCAAAACTTTCTCTCCCACCTCAGTTTCAGAAGTACCGTTTTTCCTCTTAAGTACATTGCTGCTTTCTTTAGGAAGAGACATTCTCACCTCTCTGATGTCACTGGAATGAGGTAGCCTGGGGCAGGTATGTGCTGACGAAGGCAGGTGTGTGCGTGACAGAGAGGGTGGGTGGAGATGATAGAGGCAGTGTATTTGAAAGAGCTCCCAACTGTCACCACCCCACAACTGTCACTCACACGGCACCACCTGAGTACCTCGATTCTTCCACTTGTATTCCTCAATCTGTGCTTGACCCAGGGAGGAGAGAGGAGGGCAGTGGTAGTGAGAAGTGAGGCCATGCAGGTTCAAGCTAAGACCATTTCCTTCTAATCCAGGTGACCGTGACTGCAATAGTATACATGTATCTGGTTGGACCTATCAATTAGGTTATTGTGTTCATAGAGGCCCAGGTTTGTGGAATTAGGGCTGTGGACTTTACCTGAAAGGCATACTGATAGATCAAGGGGCATTCAGTGACTCAAAGATGGTTGGATCAGCCCTCACTTGGAAATACAACTGAAGATCCTAATGGACAATAACCTAGAAAGTTTCTCACTCAACCCTATTGGCCTCATTCTGAACACTGCACAACCTCTGCCCTTAATTCTCAGTGTGAACATTTGAGATTCCCAGCCTTCTCATCAAAACTACAAGCTCAGTTTATTTTCTGATTTACTGAAACAGCCTAGCCTGAAGTTACTAGACCAGAAGGTTCGTGGCCCAACTTAGATTTCAGCTGTGCTACTGAAAAACTCTCTCATTTCAGGAGATCCTTCCTATCTGTTTCTTCATTTTCCTATTTCTAAAATGAGGTCATCCTAATGTAACCTGCTCTGCCTTCTCTGAGTGACAAATAAGAGCCCTTTCTTCAAAAGAGAGAAATTGCCTAAAGCATTCATCATTTGTTCAACCAGCTGCACTACTGTAGTGTCAGCTGACTCTTGCTTGTGGTAGATTGTTTCTCCCTGTGTTTTGTAATCTTCAATTACAAATTCATCTTTACCAAGGTTTTATCTGTGGGAATCCTGAGATCCTTGGATGAGGGTATGTCCCTAGGGTATCGCTGGCCCACCACACTATTAATACTAATTTCTTAGCTTGGTGGCTTTTGGATCACATAGGTGGTATATTTCAACTCCAAACTCAGAGTCTGAGTCTGAGGTTGCAGATTTTTAAAATAAATGATTTTGTTTTCACCTTGAGTATGGGCTGAGCAGACATCTTCATTTCCCTGTGTTGGTCAGCAAACGCTTTCTAGTCTTTCCTTTCTCTGAGGTTGTGGCCTTACAGAGGGCCTGATCTTATACAAGGGTCTCAGGTTCCACCTCCTGAAGCACCATCTTCTGTTCTCATGTGGGCATAAAAACCCTGGCCCTGTGAGTAGTGCCTTCTGGGCTGCTACAGTGTCACCTTACTGCTCTATCTTTTAGCCTCTCTCTCCCTTTGGGTCCCAGAGGGTTTCCTTTTCTTATTGTGAGCTCAGCTTTGCATTTAAAAGAATATTCATTAGATTTCATCTAGCGTTTCTAGATGTTTTGTGATGGGATGGTTTTCATGTTACCTCCTCCACCCCATATAAGGTGCTGGGCTAGATGTTAGAATTCTAAAGATGGGCAAGAAAAGGCCCTAGTGTGAGGGGCTTGCAAGAGTAATGGAAACAACTGGCAGTAGTGACAGTGTGGTGGATGCCAGAGGTCAGCTGCGTGGTGAGACCTGCAAGGTCCTGCCATGCTGTTTATTCAGTAGGATGTCAAAAGCCCAAGCAGACTCTTCATGTTTCCAGTGGACGGTGATTCTGGAGTTCATTTGCTTATTCATTATAGCGGTATTTCCTGAGCGCCTGCATGCCAGGCACAGGGCTAGACCCTGGCACATAAACTGTCCCATTCATTTCCAACAATAACTTTGTGAGGGTGGGTATTTCTATTTCGTTTTGCAGATGAGCCAGCTGTAGTATAGGGAGACTAATTAGCTTGCTCAGAGGAGCTAGACTAATTAGCTTGTCAGACTCATCTTCAGATGCAGGTCTTTAGACCTCGGAACACAGCCCTTCCTACTCCAGCTTCCACAATAAAGAAACCAGCCAAGCAAGCACCAGGGGTCCCACACAGAGAAGTGCTCTGTTTTCACATTTCATGTTTCTTCCTGTTTCTGTCAGGTGGGGGCTGGATGCATCCCCGACCCTGGGACCAGTCCCAGGGCCCCAGCAGGTCTCATGTCCACATCTCTAAATGGTATCTCTTCTTACCCACTGCAGGAAGGCTACTTAACAAACCCAAGAAGCCTTTGGGAGGACTACCCGCATGTGCACCTCCCGTGAGTATTCTCGTGACTCAGCCCCAGGGAGGAGTGAGCAGGCCCCACTGCCTTCCTGTCCCAGAGTGTGGCAAGAACACCATAGGCCCCGTTGAGCAGATCATGCCCTAAGCCTATTGTGGATGATAGACTTGTTTGGAAGCCGCTGCTTCTCAGCATGCTTGACCGGAGAATCCCAGATGCAAGGCCATTTGTGCTGGCTCCCATCACGGAGGAGTCTCAACTGCATGAGACAGATGAAGAGGCGGAACATCTCCCTCCATAACGCCCCCTGACATCCACAGAGCGTCTTTCCTTCCTGCCTGCCATGGCTGGTGCTTCGTCAGAGCCAGCGTCCTCTGCCTCTTAAAATGCTGCCAAGAGAGCAGTTTACCCTGAGGGCAATACCTGGGCCTGTCTCCATCAGGAGGCTGCCCTTTGGCTTTCCTGAGATCTTTGTTTTTTTGTTTGTTTTTGAGACGGAGTTTTGCTCTTGTTGCCCAGACTGGAGTGAAGTGGTGCAATCTCAGCTCACTGCAACCTCCCCTTCCCGGGTTCAAGTGATTCTCCTGCCTCAGCCTCCCAAGTAGCTGGGACTACAGTCATGTGCTACCATGCCCAGCTAAATTTTGTATTTTTCGTAGAGACGGGGTTTCACCATGTTGGCCAGGCTGGTCTCAAACTCCTGACTTCAGGTGGTCTACCTGCCTTGGTCTCCCAAAGTGCTGGGATTACAGGCATGAGCCACCACGCCCAGCTGCCTTTCCCGAGACCTTTAAGAGCAACAATAGCAAAGGACATAGGGCTGACTTAGAACTTTCCCTTGCTGCTTAGAGCCATTCGTTGTTCAGTGTATTTGTTGGTCCTCATCTCCATCAACAGTGCTCTGTAATCTGCTCCCTTTTCAAGGCTGAAGGATTCCTCCTTCTCTACGCTCTTTTAATCATGTTTGTTTCTTTCTGTGGACTTTCCATGTCCCTTTAAGTGGTCTTGTATGTAGAACAAGGGCACGGACCAGCAGAGAAGCCAGGGTCCCAGGCTCAGGGGGCAGCAGTCACCGGCCTCACTGCCTTGCTCCTAGACCAGCTCCTCACAGGCAGAATCTCGGCCCATGCTTTTCCCTCCCATGCCTGGCCAGCGCCTGCAGGGATACTTTTCTCTATCCTGCCTGTGTGACTTGCCCCCTTGTCTCCAGCTTCCAGGTGAAGTTTTTCTACCTATGCCAGCTGGCCTACTGGCTGCACGCACTTCCTGAGCTATACTTCCAGAAGGTACGGAAGGTGAGTGCTCACTTCTCCCCCTTCTTGGAGGCCATTCATTCACCACTCCTCTCCTGCTATTCCCAGTGGTGCCTCCCTTCCTTTCCTCCAGAAGCGTGGAGTGTTGGGTGGTGATAGGAATATGTTGGGGGTTGAGCAGCATGCCGAGTCAGCTCTTGGAGAGGCGCCGTGTAGGCCCCCATGGGTGTTGGCCACCAGTGTCAGTTTCTTGCCTGCCGCTTCCACCAGACATACGGCTTTGGAGGAAACCTAACTCTGATCTTCTAGATGTCAAAGGAGAGATCTTTGCCATTTCTATAGTTTTGATTTTTGCTTTTTATAATTTCCCTCTGAATTATTTCCCAGGCCTTCTTCCCCAGCCCCTGTCTCTTCTTTCTCAATCCAAACCTTGCCTTCTGACACTAGACCCAAGGCTGCTGAAATTGGGAATGGACCTGACCACCCTTGGAATTTCAGCAGCCTGATGCAGTGGGACTGTGGGGACTCATGGGACTTGTGGGACATGGGAGTGTGTGTTCAAGTAGCCCAGAGGAGCCTGGCCCTCTCTCATCCCCTTACACTCCCCCTGCTCATGTTTTTCAATCTTCAGTTAGGGAATTAGCAAATTTACGATATGCTTCTCTTGTTTCCAGGAGGAAATTCCCCGCCAGCTCCAGTATATTTGCCTGTACCTGGTGCACATAGCTGGAGCATACCTCTTAAAGTGAGTGAGACCATGGAGCCAGCCAGATTGCCTTGCCCTTTTATGTCCATGCATCTAGCCACACAGTCATATAATTATCAGGCATTTATTGACACCTTCTGTGTGCCTAGCAGCATGCTAAGACTTGGCAATACAAAGATGATCATGGAAGATTCTTTATGTTCAGTGATTCATTCTAGCCTGAAGAGACAGTCATAGACATAGGTAAGGGCAGTTTAGCGTGATGAGCCCCTTAACACGGTATGTATCATCTGCTCTGCAACCCAGAATAAGACCCTCAACAGAGAAAGCCAGGAAGACTTCCAATGGATGTTGGCCTTAGAACCATGGCTTTGCAGCTTGAAGGCCTCCCAAAGCTGGGCGCTTGCCTCACAGCATCCAGCGCAAACACTGCTAGAGCGCGTAACCCTGGAATTCCCTTCCCTTTGATTTGTAATGAGATGGAGACTAGGTGTCCCTTGGTTGTTCTAGTAGCAAAAGGATTGCTATAATGTTCTCGAGAGCCTCTTTTATCAAAAGAATGATATCGATGTTGTTAAGCCATGTCATTGACAATTTGGACTTTTGCTGAGCTTTATCCATGCAGTAAAGGAGAACACCCGGCACTTTCTCTAGGCTGGCACTTAGAGTGGCACTCAGACAGCTCACTGTGTGGAACTTTTTGCCAAGGTGCCTGGAAATCCCAAGGCGCTTTGTCTCCTAGGTCCTTGCAGCAGGCATCCTGTGCGAATGACTGACTTGGATTAGTAAGATTCAGGCAGGGAGGGAGCTCTCAAACCCTGTCTCCTGTCTCTGGAGGCCTGTAGCAGCATCCGTTCCTGGATGGGTCTTTGAGGGCTGAAGGCTATATGGTGATGCCAGCTCTGCCCTTGTGTTGGATGCTCATGTGTCACAGGCATAATGAGTCTAAGAAGTCACTCTGCACTGTCACCGTAGCAGTAGCAAAGAGCAGGGAGAATGTACTAAACAGGGCCACACAGAAGGAGCACTTTCTGCTTCTCTGAGTACCTTGAAGCTGTGAAGACTTGGACAATGGAAAGTCAGACAAGAACACTTTATATTTCTATACTCAGAGCTCAGCAAATGTGTTCTGAGCACCTTTTATGTACTTGGTTCCAGCCTAGGGGATGAGTGCAAGGTGCTGAGCACTGTGAAGGGCTGTGCCAGGGTTGCTGTGGGAACAGGTAAGGGCATCTGACCGAGACAGGACAGCTGAAAGGCCAGGGGGCCGGTATTAGGGAAAACGTCTTAAAGGTGTGACAGCTGAACTGGATCCTAAAGGATGGGGCAGAGCCACCCAGGGAAAGTGGGAGTGAGTAGAAAACACAGCCCAGCCAGGCACAGGACAGCCTGAGCCAAGATGTGACGGCCTCTGCTCCACACGGCATTTTGGAGGGAATGTAAGGCTAGTCTTTTTCCCCCCAGCCTGAGCCGCCTGGGTCTGATCTTGCTGCTGCTGCAGTACTCAACTGAGTTCCTCTTCCACATGGCTCGACTCTTCTACTTTGCAGATGAAAACAATGAGAAACTGTAAGTGGGGCTGCTGGAGGCTGGTCTGCTCAGAGGTCTGGACAGGGCTTCCCTCTGAGGCCTGGATGGTTGGAGGGTCCCTCCCTGGGTACACACGGCCCGCTTACCTGCAGGCGGTGCCCTCGTGTTGTTTTTTTCCTGGAACATCTGACTTTAGATACCTCATCCCTCAAGCACTTTCCTCAGCCACCCTTGAATCCTCTTTCCATTTGGAGTATCTTCTGGAGAAAAGAGTGAAGGTTCCTTCAAGGGCTCTAAAGACTGACATCCCTCTTCTGCTTCTGTGAGCAGGTTCAGTGCCTGGGCTGCTGTTTTTGGGGTTACCCGCCTCTTCATCCTCACCCTTGCCGTGCTGGCCATCGGCTTTGGACTGGCTCGCATGGAAAACCAGGCATTTGACCCCGAGAAAGGGAACTTCAACACTTTGTTTTGCAGGTGAGTCGGGCAGAAGTCCAAGGTGATAAGGCAGGGTTTCCTGAGTACCACAAGGGGCCTCCTGAACTTGGCACAGCCTCTGCAGAAGGTCTGGAGGCAGCAGACCCTTCCGTCTCCCACATGTTGTTATTTAGCTGGAAATCTCTGGATATCAGGCCTGAGGGGAGAAGATATAGCAGCTTCTGTTTCCATCCAAACCATCTTCACTCCCTGGCCCTGGTTTGCTCAGATTGCAGTCCAAATAGGAATCCCTTACACTTGTCTGGCACTTTGTGGCACATAGAGGCATCACACCCAGTCTCTCAGTTGATATCATTCTCCTCTTCTTCTGTGTGGGTGCTAAAACCATGTGCTCAATGGCTTGGCCAGTGGCCTTCAGTACCCGTGAGAAGGCAGTGAGGAAGCCACTGTTTCTCAGAGCCCCTAGGCCCAGGAGATGGATTTGTCCAGGGTTGCTCCCCTTTTAAGTGACATGCTAAATGAGAATCCACTCTTCCAGAAATTCATTTGAATTCTACCAATATTTGTGGAGCTTACATTAGTCTTGTTCTGTGTGATGGGTGCAAAAGAGGCACACGGAGCCCTCCCTCAGCATGTGAGTAGCGTGATTGTAGAGCTGGCCGTACGTCCATCACCACTTCCTTCCCTTCTCCCTGACACGTGTGACGTGTGCTGGATCAGAGACTGACTGAAGCACACACTTCCTGGTGATAGTGGCGGTATTGGAGAGGGCCGGCGGCGAAGGTGGAGGTGATGAGCCATGGGAACTGCAGGGCCCCCGGCCACGGTTCTCCCCCGCACTACCCAGCCCCAAGGCTGTGAGCCCAAGCCCCCCGGCCTAAGCCCACCCCTCTGCCCCGCTGCAGGCTCTGCGTGCTGCTGCTGGTGTGTGCCGCCCAGGCCTGGCTCATGTGGCGCTTCATCCACTCCCAGCTGCGGCACTGGCGGGAATACTGGAATGAGCAGAGTACAAAGCGGAGAGTCCCAGCTACACCCAGACTACCAGCCAGGCTCATCAAGAGGGAATCTGGTGAGTGCCAGGGCCCTTGGCAGAGAGTGGAGCCAGGGAAGTCTGTCTGGGATGGGTAGGAGGAGCCAAGGCGATGGGCTTCTTGGGCACTCCCCAGACCAGTCCTGCCAGCTTCTCCTTCCTCAGGGCTGGGGCTCCTAGCTCCCGGACTAGCACGTGGCTGGCCATGGGCCAGGGACAGACTGTGGGTGGGGCTGGCCCTAACTAGGCTGGGAGCCCTGGCCACCCTGGGGCAGGGCAGTGGCTGGGTGGGGAACTCTGGCAGGAAGCGTGTCCTCAGGGTGGCTTCTGGACCCCGGCCAAGTGCTGCTACTGCCGCCGCCCATTTTCAGTGCCGGACAGCGGCTCTGTCCTCACCTGCCCTTTTGCTCTATGTCTCAGCCTGCCCCTGCCTCCCAGCTTGCTGGCTCCTCCTGTCTTCAGCAGTGACTCACAGTGACACAGTGCTAGGTGGGGGGCAGAAGTGGGACACCCACTTCTTTGGCCCTGCACGCACTCCAGTCATCACCCATCTTCAGCAGGTCTCCAGGCCCTGCCAGCCCTGCACGTTCTGCCCAGCCTGGGGGCCTGTCTGCACCAGGCACTGCTTTCTGACTCACCTGCTTTTCTCCAGGTGGCCACCTGCTTGGCAAAGTTTCATGTGTTTGAACCAGACACGCGTGCAGCTGGGTGTGTCATAGAGTCAGGCCTGGCTGGCGGGGGAGGCATGGAGCATAAGACTGCAGCTAGTACCTCTGACTTTGAGCAGGCGCATAGAGGTATTTTGAACAATAGAAAGAGCACAGTTTTTCTGCCAGAGCAGTGTCAGGCATCCTCCCGAGGCCTTGTTCCTGCAGCCTCTCATTTCCCTCCCTCTGTTGCCAATGCTCCTGGGAGTTCTTCCTTAACTGGAAATGGGCTGACACCTTGCAGGGGCCTGAGAGGAACTGAGGACAGTGGGACTGGGACAGCATCTGAGTGATTCCGGCACGTATCTAGCCCCAGTGTCAGGCTTGCGCTGGCTGGCCTCTTGCTGTTGCCGAGTTACTGTGTGTCATCCCAGGCCCCTCCTCCTAAAGGGCAATCATCAGAGACCAAGCCTCTCAAACAGGGCCACTTGTCCAGGGCCCTGGGGAGGACAGGACCCCCCAGGGAGCCGTCTACTGGCTTCCGTCTGCTGTGTGCGGCTGCAGCCCGGCACCCCTTTGGTGCATCCACATGTTGCAGCAGGGCTGCCTGGGCCCCTTCCTTGGCCCGGCCCCACCCTCCCCCCTCCTGCCTTAGTTCCAGCAGAAACACCACATATGCTTGTCTCTCTCCACTTCCCAGGTTACCACGAAAATGGAGTGGTGAAGGCAGAGAACGGAACCTCCCCACGGACTAAGAAACTCAAGTCTCCCTAAGGCCAAAGTGCTAAGAACAGGAATCCTCTTGGTGGGGGCCCAGCAGGGCGTGAGGAGCCCAGGCCCCCTCCCTCCCTCCTCCTTCCTGCCTGTGATGCTCCGTCTCAAACGGCCAAAACCTGTCTTTCAATGGTGGGGGGGGGGGGGTTCTCTTTCTTTCTTCTTGGCTTTCTCTTCTTCCACAAACCATTTTCAATAAAGCCAAAAAACTTTCTCTTTCTCCCCTCAGGCCACCTCCTGTCCTCACTCCTGTCCTGTGCTGGCTTTTCCAGAAGCCCGGGTTCTCATGGCTGTCATCTTTCTGCTTGCCTTTGTCTCTCCCCTCACGGCTGCTGCTGCTTCTTTTTGCTTCCTAATTTCCCCTTATCTTGCCATTTTTCTGTCTGATTTTTACAATGGGAGGGGAGCTAAGATTGCAGTCCTGTCTGTCGGTCCCGCAGGGCCTGCCGGTCAGAAGCCCGGGGCGGGTAGCAGGCCCTCGGTGGTCCGCATGTGGATAGGCAAGAAGAAGCCAGAGCGGCCCTCTCGGATCATTGTCTCCTTGGTGCTGATTAACTGACACGAGAGCTGATTCCAGTCCTGCACGTACCATCTTGAGGCACAGCAGCCACTGCTCGTAGTATTTGCCAAGGCATTTGGCTTTGGGACGTGACAACTCAACCCAGAAGGATGGTGTGAACTCAGTTGGGTCCCGTGACTCGAGTGCTTACCAGTGGCTGACTGCGGATTGGAAGCCAGCCTGCTGTCGCTGTGTGGGGGAGGTGCTGAAGGAGGACGAGTCTTCCCACTGCTTAGAGCCAGAGCAGAGCAAACTGCGTGGCAGGCTCTTCCAGAAAGGTAATGGTGGCAGAACCCACAGAGGAGTCGACCTAGGCCTTTTTCCAGCAGTCCCAGCCGCCGTTGCTTTTTCAGCCATTCACAAGCATTCAAAACCAAACCAAACAGCAGTTCACAAACCTGCCTGAGATATGCTGGTCCTCACCTGCAGAGCCAGCCAGCCCTGTCAGGGGCCAAACTTACTACCTTGATTTCATCTCTAGCTGCAGAAACACTAAGCCTCAAGGGCTTCAGCCCCATGCTGGTCGCTTGATGTCCAGGGAGGCTCACTTGGACCACTGTCCATCTGGCCGCCCTTGTTGAGTGTTCTTTGGAATTGTCGTTTTTTGAGCACAGCTACAGCATTTTAGACTGCATGAAACCAACATGAGACTGAATGACTGAGAATCACTCTCTGGGTAGGTAACAGGCACCTTTCTGGCCCCTTCTCTCACAGATTCTTTCCTCTCCCCTCTACCTACAGGCAAGGCCTCCATGGTGCCTTGTGAGGACTTTTAGAAGGGGCGTTCAGCTTTAAAAAGGTCCCAATTAAGGCCAGGCATGGTGGCTCATGCCTGTAATCCCAGCACTTTGGGAGGCTAAGGCAGGTGGATCACTGAGGTCAGGAGTTCAAGACCAGCCTGACCAACATGATGAAACCCTGTGTCTACTAAAAGTACACAAAATTAGCCGGGCATGGTGGTGGACGTCTGTAATCCCAGCTACTCAGGAGGCTGAGGTAGGAGAATCAGTTGAACCTGAGAGGCGGATGTTGCAGTGAGCGGAGATCGCACCATTGCACTCCAGCCTGAGTAACAAGAGTGAAACTCCATCTAAAACAAAACAAAACAAAAAGGTCCTAATTAAGAACCTCTGAACTCTGTCCTGAGACAAAGTGCTGTAGTTTTTGGTAGGTGCGGGAATAGTAGTGTCATTTGGTATACTGATCCTTTCTGACCTTACAGTAGAAACCAAACCTTGGATTTTATTCAGAAAAGGAGAAATGGGTCTTTTCATCAAGGCAACGCCTCTTCTCCAAGTCATTTACATCACAGATAAATTTTAATCTCCCAGTAACTGAAGGATTTGTTTCCTACCATCATTGGAGACCTTCACCTCTCTCCACGATAAGGTTGCAGAAATGGGAAGAACTACTTATGGTTGCTTTTGATTTCCCTTAGGAAGTGAGACTGCGTGTTTGAAAATACGCATTTCCCCCATTTCTCCGTCTCCTTTCCTGACAATTCTCTGGGCTGCACAGCAGAACCATTGGTAAAAGGGCGGTTTGGTATCAACACAGCAGACCTGATCTGGGGTCCCTTAACCATTTCAGTCAAACAGCCGTGACCTAGGCTGTAATTCAGTTCAGGTCCCCACCTTGCCTGGGAACTGCAAATGGAGTGTTCAGCCAGCAGCCTCCTAAACCCACCTTCTTCCCCCATTAGCCTAGAACACCCATCCTTCATGCTCTCCAGGCTGTGTCATTGGAAGGGCTTCACATGCAGGAGGCCTCCTTCAGGCGAGCCCAGGTTAAACTGTTGAGTTGTGCCTTCAACAAATATGTATGGTGTGCTTGGATGTACCAGGTGCCTGCGTTGTGCCAGATGCTGGTGAGGTAGTGGGGAGCAGAGCACCTGAAGTCTTGCCATCAAGCAGCCTTCATTCTCATGCATGTAGGTTTCCGTTGCTGTGTCCCAGACACCTGTGTGCCAGAGACGCCACAACTTCATGTCCCCTGTCTCTTGGAAGCTCCCCGTGCTCCCAGTGCTCCCAGTGTATCATGCCTTGGATGTGGTATCACCAACCCAGTGGCCGGGGTCAACTTAGGCTCTCTTCCTCAGTGGACAAGGGTGTGTTTAGGGTTTATTTTATGTAAAACAAAAAAACTCTGAGACCATGAGTGGGGCTGGCATCTTGCCAGCCTGGGCTTCAGTGATGTTTGCTGGGGGGCTGATTAGAGGGTAGTTGTAGGGTACTTTGTCACCCCCTCCCCACCAGCCTCCCTGCTGTGTGTATTTCATAGCAGAGCCAAGTCTTTGGCAGATTGACACAAACTGTGTTGCCAGAGCTGAAATAATTCCACTTCATCCTATGAGCTTTTTGGGCTAGCTTGTTCTAATTTTGGCCACTTTGGCTTTTTTCTTCAGTTTTATGCATTCTCTCCTGACCCAAAGTGCTGAGCCATTTGTGAAGGCTCTGCCAGACACATTCAAGCTTGAGAGCGCAGCACCATGCACTAAGAGCAGGAGAAAAGACATAACCTACCTCAGCAATTGTGGCCTCTCAACAGCCCTGGCTAGCTTACATTTGTGGGGAAGCCAACAGATGCAGTGGGAGGGCAGGGAGGTGGCGCTGGTGCACCAAGGATCCATGCTGCCGGTTCCCCCTCCTTGGAGGTGCAGTGATGGGAGTTATTTTTACCATCTGGGCTCTGATAGATGCACTATTAATAAATTGCATGTGCTCCTTTTGAAGGTAGGGGATGGTTCTGGGCAAAAGGGGAGCAGGCTGAGCTAGGAGGGGAGCTGCTGTCCTCCCTTTCGAGTCAATTCTAATCGTTTGTGTGTCTGGACCCAGACCAAAATGGTTGCTGAGACACTTGTCTGTCCATGTCCCAAGGCATAATTTCCCAACATTTAAGAAACTCCAGGCCGGGTGCGGTGGCTCAAGCCTGTAATCCCAGCACTTTGGGAAGCTGAGGCAGGTGGATCACAAGGTCAAGAGATCGAGACCATCCTGGTCAACATGGTGAAACCCCATCTCTACCAAAAATGCAAAAAAATTAGCTGGGTATGATGGCACGTGCCTGTAATCCCAGCTACTCAGGAGGCTGAGGCAGGAGAATTGCCTGAACTCAGGAGGCGGAGGTTGCAGTGAGCCGAGTTCGCTCCATTGCACTTCAGCCTGGGTAACAAGAGCGAAACTCCGTCTCCAAAAAAAAAGGAAACTCCAGTAGACACCTCTGCCCTGGCCACTTTCACAGATGCTTCTCTTGACCGGAAGCCCTGGGACCTTAAGAATTCCTGAAGCTTGGGGTAGGTGTGTGCTTCTGGGGTCTCTTTTAGGACCTCCTTCCCTAGTACCCCATTGACCTTTTTTTTCCTAAGCAGCTAATAAGAGGGTGGGTGAAAGAATCCCAAGATTCCACAATGAAAATCTTCCATGGATGCTTTAATCGGAAGTGGGTTGCCGACCCCCTTGTTCCTAGAGGAGGCCTCAGCTTGGGTTTCCTTAGGCCTGATATGAGAGGTAGGGTGGTCTGCACGTAACTAATTATCTCGCCTAAGGGCCTCTGGCACAAGTGCACAGACTTCCAATTCTTGATGTTCTAAAGCCTCTGTCCTCTAACACAGGGAGCACTGAAAGCTTGTGAGTCAAGACAGTGGAGTGGTCTTCCTCCTTCTGCCTTCCGAGCTAATGGCTCTTTTCCTCAGGAATACACTTTAGGGATTATTGGAGGATTAGTCATTGTCAGATAACTGGACAACCTAAATAAGATCCCTCTCCAGCCCAAGGTTGTCCCAGTGAGGAAGACTTTACCAACTTCTCACTACCGCACTTCTCCCATGAGTGTTAGCCTCACCTCTCAAAGGCTGAAGACCAGTTCCCCCAGTGAGAGCTGCCTCACTCTTACTGAGTTCCCTGGATGAGCAGAGCCGTGAAGAGGGCTGGGATTTGCACCCTCCAGGTAGCCTTCCGTGCTCGGCAACCCTGAAGAGTTTTGGTCCCAAGCATTGTGTGTGTGTGTGTGTGTGTGTGTGTGTAAATAAGTGCCTTACTTTGCTATGTGGTTTTCACTTGTACTCTGTGGCCAGCCTCTAGCTGCCAGGGCTCTAGGGCTGTTTGTCACAAGCAGCCAAGGACACCATACCTCAGTAGAGTTAAATATAAAAGGGACACAGATTGTGACAGTTTCACCTCATTTGTTTCAAATTTGCTGCCCAGCATTAGGGTCTGTGGTGTGTTCTCTGTTTTGTTTTGGTTTCTCCCTTGTGTCAGTTCTCTTCTGGCCCAGCTGGGTGGCTGTGGAAGTCAGTGAGGTGGCCCAACCACAAGCATACCTATTAAGGGAAGCCCAGAGCTTCCGGCTTCCACCTTGAAAACTCCCCTCTGGCCCCACATAGCAAGCCCCACCGCTCCGCTTTTCTGTTATTTTCCCCACCCCTAGATTTTTTTTTTTTAAAGGCACGCTTACCATAACCTCTTGGTCTGTTTTGCTTCCCATTCAATCCAAAGTTTATATGATAAAGGTGTTTACTTTTACTTCCCAGTCTCCAGTGCTAACAGACATGTCTATTGCAGAACTGTTTGAGCTCTTAATTCAGTGTTACCTTGTGTTAGTCGCAGCAACCCTCTTGCCTGCCCACCTTTTTCTCGCTCTTCCGGGTTGTGCAATAACTCTCCCAGCCAGTGGACCTTTCCACAGCCTTTCTGTCCCTTAAAACGCCCTGCAACTGGGGGAGAAATGGGACCCGTGGGAGGGGTAGTCATCATCCCTTACAGAAGAAATAGTAGTCGCTTTCCTTTTGTTGCTGTCATTCTTGTGATCCTGGGTGGGTTTTTGTGGCACTCTCGTGGAACATGTAGCATCATCCTAGAAGTCTATTATTAAAAAAATTTGTTGAAGAGGAAAAAAACATCCTCATGATGGGGCTCAAGTCATTGTTCAGGAATAAGATCTGTTGTGGTGCCCATCAAATCACCGTCACTCTGCCTAAAGCATTCCAGAGCTTCTTGTTCATGGGGAGAGGAAGGATATTTTGCCAAGCAACAGCCACAGGTGAGTAGCCCTGTTCACCTGATAGGCTCTGGCTGTGACAGTAAATACAATACCACCTTTCCTTGGGTGCAGATTTGAGTGTTCATGCGATGAGACTGTAAACCTCACTTTTCAGTTCCTCTGTTTAAAAAAGCATCTGAAGTATGAACTAAGGCTGCTGCTGCCCTGAGCAACGGATAATGCAAATGTGGACAAACTGTCTATCTGTTTTCTACTCTAGCCTGTTCATATGGACCAAATTTCAGCAAGGAACTCAAGGAAAATTTGTACCTGGCGTATTTATGCTTTCATTTAAAATGGTTGGGGGGAGGGGTGTCTTTTTACTTTTGGTGAACTTTTTTTCAAAATCATTTTTCCACTGTTTCTGCCTGGTTTTAAAACAAATTACAGTTTTGTATGGATTTTTTAAATGTACATTTTGAAACAAATGATCAAATATTTTCTGAAATAACAGAATAAAAGGCAGAGAATTATCAGAATAATTGTCTCATAATTTCCTTGGCGTGCTTTTATAGTGATGCTTTTACATGAATGTTTGTATTTGCTTAAATGAGTTTGTATGAGTTTTAGCCCTCATGTCTAATATTTTTCACTATATTAGTCATTTCTTATATAGCTTGACCCGTATTTGTCCATTGGAGTGATATGAATTAGGGAATTAGAATTAAGAATGGAGAGAAAGTGTTATATCAAGTGCTGGATAGTAATAAGCATCATTTTTATTTGAATCCATAATAGTAAAATGTGGAAAAGGTGTTTCCTTAACATGGGGTTTATGGGTAGGAAGCTCCAGAAACAAGCATATTGTCCTTGACGCCTACTATACTATGATGTTATTTAGCTTGGAGGAAATGGGGTTTCATTTGTGTAAAAGCCAACAGGTATGTTGGTGCTGACCAAAAGATATCCAAGTATTAGTAATAATGGCAGGCAGTAGGGATCACTAGTGTCACTTACATGGCTGCTGCTTCCTGTAGCTGCTTGCTGTTTACCAGAACCATCTCTGGAGAGATTTCAAAAGATGAGTACAGTTACAGGTGGCAGTTAGCTGAGGACACCTATGGGAAGTGAGAATTAAAGAAGAAATGTTTGCTTGAGGTGCAGGTGAGTGATTCTGCTGCACGGCAAGCTTCCTTGCAGACTTGGGTCCTGCTCTGCCATGAGAAGCTGGGTGAACTCAAGCAGTTAACATTTCTGTCTTTTTGCTCATCTGTATCAAAAGGGTTTCATGTTTTGTGGAGAATGGTGGTGAGAGATTTAGAGATACTGAATGCTAAGTTCATTGTATATATAAAGCACTCAAGTTGGCTTTTTAAAATGAACTTATGTGCCAGCAGCATATTCAGGAGTCACTTACCCCAGTGACCCTTGATTCTCTGGAGACAATTCGTCTCAAATACCCTGAAAGCCTATAGATACGGATTTGATACACCTTAATTCGATAGTATCTTAAAGGCCCCCTGGTAGTGCAGACAAGGTACAGACCCAGGTTTCTGAGTGGTGGCTAACTCACAGCCCAAGCTTACCCACAAAGCAATTTTCTTATAAGCAGTCTTAGACAAAGCCTTCAGTTAGACTTGATAGCTTCAGCTACCAATGCTAATCTTAATTCTCTTTCTTTCTCTCTCTCTCTCTCTCTCTCTCTCTCTCTCTGTGTGTGTGTGTGTGTGTGTGTTAGAATCTTTCAATTCCCTGGTGGCCAATCTGAAGTGATGATCTTTCTGCTTCCTACAATATTGCTTGCTACAGGCTAATGCTCAGCTCTCTTCCATCACCTGAGCCTAACACTCCAGATGCCTGCCAGCTGTGACTGTGGCACAAGGTAATTAGTGACATCTAATGGCTGCACTGCCATTCAGGATTTTAGAAGAAAGTGATTTGCTCTGACATTTGTGGTTCCTATACTTGCTGCTTTGTATAAACTTACCAGGTGAGCAGTGAGTGTGGGGACACCGCAGAAGTGACCTGCTGGCTTTGGTCTTTCATACCTTGCGATGGTGCTGTTAGATCTCAGCTTCTCAATCTTAAGTAAACGAAAGGAGATGCCACGCAAGACGTGGACAGCAAACTTAAGGGGTGTATGTGGATAGTGCCAACT